TTAAATTCAGTAAGGGCATCCCCATCCATAGGTTTATTTAGGGATTATTTTGATATGGGCTAATGTGAAAGATATATTTTGATAAGAGATATTTAGGGATTAGATTGAGACGTTGAGATTATTTGAAGATATTATTTGACGAAAAAAATCTGGATCTTTTTTAAATGTTGGATTATTGAAGATTATTCTCAAACTTCTAGGTTCCTCTCCCAACTTTTCGGGCATACTCGCGGTTTATGTTGTTGGCTCTTGCTATTTGATCTCCACTAATTTTGCTTTTAAAAGTAAAAGTGTAATATGAAACCTTAAAGTTGGTTTCCTAATTAAATTAACATCATGAATGAGGAGAAATTAAGTGATTTGAAGATTATTTAAAAAAAATTATATACAATTGACATGAAAATAATAAGGTATAAAAAATTGTAGAATTGAAGCATGAATGGCAATGCTCTAAGACATAATTATAGAAAAAAATTAAAAAAAAAAAAGTATAGGTATCGTAAAATTTATTTGTTCATATGATACCTTAATTTATCCACGTTTCTGTTTGAATTTTACTGTAAATTAGCAAGTTTACTTTGTATCCAAATGTTTTCAGTCATAGCCGATCTGAACATGATTATGCCGAATTGTATCCTCAAGCAAGAGAGATATTAGTGGCTCTACATGAAATGGGAATTGGTGTTGCTATTGCCTCAAGAACACCCACTCCAAACATAGCTCGTGCCTTTTTACTTAAGCTAGGTTTAGGATCAATTTTTATTGCAAAGGTAGTATCTAATTTACCCCCTTTAAATTAACGTATCACATTTAATTTATTTATATACATTGATCTATGATTTTGACTCTATATATGCCTGTTTTATGATGATTAGGAAATGTTTCCAAGTAGGTCACCAAAAACAGAACATTTTGAAAGGATCCACATAAGAACAATGGTGCCTTATAAACAAATGTTATTTTTCGACGATGAGAAAAGGAACATTGATGCGGTAAGTTTACTGTTTACTCCTTAGCTTTAATTATAAGATTTTCCCCACTAGTTCACTAGAATAATTCACTAGAATAAGTAGGAAAAGTTCCTGAAATAGAAGTAAACGAGTTTTGGAATTCCAAAATAAAACTATTAGATTTTGATTTCCAAAATATGACTAACATATATGACAATATCTACTGTCATCTTGGAGTTACTACTGAAAAATAGTTACACTACTAGCAGACATTAACTTGATAATATTTACTGTCATTAATAAGACATTATGTTTTTCTAATTTTTATCTTTTACTGCGTATTAAAATAGACTTACATTTTACACGTACTACCATATGAAATACTACGTATATTACAATATGACGATTAAAGGATTTATTGCATCGAGTGGTTGATTAAAGGATTTAATTATTTGCTTTTTACAAAAAAAAAGGATTTATTTGCTTTCGAATCAAATAGTACGCACAACAATTTAATTAGTGAGAATGTGAGATGATATGTTTGTAGTCTAATACTCCGTACACCAAAGCCTGGAACTTTTATCTTTCTAAAGTAGCGTCATAGATACTCCCTCCGTCCCGTTGGAATGTTCCCGGTTTGACCTACACACATATTAAGGAAATAAACTTACCAGGGGGTAAATTTTACTGTTTGGACACTGTTTGGACACTGTTTGACACTGTTTTGCACTGTTTGACACTGTTTTGATGTAGGATAACTTTCCATTTAGGAAAATGAGAACTTTCCATTGGGACATCCAAAAAAAGGAAAGTGGGAACATTCCAATGAGACGGAGGTAGTATTAGATAGTGTTGAATAATAAAGGGTTTTGCTATAGGTACCCCAAAATGGGGTACCCCATTTGTCCCCCACCCTATTGGGTGGCCACAAATGAGCCAACCCAATTATGTGGTGCCCCACTTAAATGAGTTGCCTCATTTGTGGCCACCCAATAGGGTGGGGGACAAATGGGGTACCCCATTTTGGGGTACCTTTAGCAAAATTCTGGATGCTTACTCCGATGATCCGATCAATAGCAATCAGTTATTTACTACTACCTCCCTATCAGGGAGAAGTTCTCACTTTCCTTTTTTGGCAGTCCCAACAAAAAGTTCCCATTTCCTTAAATAGAAAGTTATCCTACATAAAAACAGTGTCAAACAGTGCAAAACAGTGTCAAATAGTGTCGAAACAGTGCCAAACAGTGTCGAAACAGTGCCAAACAGTAAAATTTACCTCTCAGTAACTTTATTTCCTTAATATGTGTGAAAGTCAACCCGGGAACTTCTCCCTGGGACGGAGGGAGTATTTGCATGATTTTCGCAAGAACTTGAATAGAATTATGAAAATTCAATCACATCTCATATCAATTCCTAATTAAATCTCAAAAAAGAAATACGGAGTATATACGAAGAAATATTCCATGAATTAACCACTTGATAAATAAATACTTTATTATACATACTATCGTATATGAGTTGCTAAAGTAGTTCAAGCATTACTTTATACGATCAGCGATCGTTCAGCCTTCTCCTAATCACCATCAGGGATGATCGAACGAGGTGCTAGGCGCCTATGCTAGGATTCAAGAATTTTATCTAGCTTACTTATATTTATTCATGTTTTGCTTTTATTAGGATTTTTACTTTGTTATGGTTGTGCCGTGTTTTTATGGCAAAAAACTCCAGAAGTCATTGACTCAGTCAATAATATTGCTTGAGTTAACCTGCTTACATCATGTTATGATAATTTAAGCGAGTTTGGTTAAAAAAAATAGTTTAAGCACTACTTTCGATATGGGTGTGTTAGTGTGTATACATGACTACCTCTCTATTCGATTGTGTGTTATAGTTTTATCTTTAGTTCTATTTAAGATATTTGCACCATAATTTGATTAATTATAAAAAAAACTATTGTAACTTATCAATAAGAAAACAAAATTAATTTTTTCGGCAAAAGTAGAAAGAAGGTTTAAAAATATGAGATATAAAAAAGTTTTTTCTTAAATATTACGTGTACTAAATAATCTAATGAGAGTACAATTAAGAAAAGTGGAATTTGAATTTTGTTCTTAAAAGATAAAGAAATACTCCCTCCGTCCCTCAAAACTTTGTCAATTTTCCCTTTTTTGATATCCCACTAACTTTGCCACTTTCTCTATAAGTAAAGAATTTGTGGTTCCAGCTAATTCTCTCTCTTCTGCACAAATCTCAACCACACAATTTTTACTTTATTAATCTCCGTGTCGGTCAAACTGGGCAAAGTTTTAAGAAAGCGACGGAGATAGCAACATGTATTTGTGAACTTTGTTGATATATTTAGATAATAAGTAATAATTTTATTATTATTTATTTAGGCATCTCAAATGGGCGTGACTGGCGTTTTGGTGAACAATGGCATAAATTTTAAAGCTCTATATGAAGGACTCTTAGCATTGCATCAACGCAATGTTCCACGTCCACGACATGCATTTATGATGCCCCATGACCATCATGTTCCGCATCCGCAACATGCATCAATCATACCTCATCACCATCCTACTCGAATTGTGCGTGTCCCTCAACCTCAGGTTCATGGGTGTTGCAATGTCCCGCACATTGCTCAACCTCACCCGCAAGGAGGTTGCAATATTCCATGCATGCATTTTGAAATGATGTCATTATGTGGTTATCATCACCATAATCATCATCACCACCATAACAATCGACATAGGCACATTTAAACCCTTATGCCTAAATACCTAATATTAACTATATTATCATGCTTGCTTCTAATTTTTTTTCATACGTATGATTAAGATAATGTTAGAAACAGAGATCTTGTTTTTATGATTTAATTCGTTCTTCCCTTCTGCACGATAAATAGAGCGGGTTTGCTTATTACTTGAATTTACTTCATCAAAGTAATTTTAGGAGTTGTTATTTTAGTTCTTTTCACTATGAATACATATCAATTTAATACAGAGTATTCAGTATTATCATTAAAATTGTGAAAAATATGACTAATAATTTCATCGATGGGGGGGGGGGAGGGATTTTACTATTTTAGGGTGCACGTCAACACCACATACCGGATCTTGGATCAGGATTTTTTTTATCTGATTTTGTTTTATGTAGACTAGTTATAAAATAAACGGATATTTATTTTGCTCTGTTTATTTATTATTCTTTGTACCTGAACACAATTGGCAGAAAGAAGTAATGGCGGGAGTTTGGAATCAAGAATCGGAAAATCGAACCGGACCGAGCCATTATGATCCGATTCGGTTCGGTCAAAACATTTTTAAGTTACTCCGTACTACGTATTTGTTAATGGATTGGTTCATGTATTTTATTAATGATAATGATTCTTGTGAATGAACCATTATTTATCAATGAACCGTTATTCACATAGTATATAATAATTAAAAAAATTATATATATTACTTATTAGTTATTAGTAATATATATTTCAATATATACTTACTTATTTACTTTATACGGAGTATAAATTAAATTCACAATTTTGAGATAAATGAGCTTTTTACTAACTAATTACGTTACTAATTCAAGATCATATCATAATAATTGATTGTAGTAAATATCATGTTTTTTTTTATTTTGTTGTTTTGGCAAAATCATGTTAACTTTTATTTACTAAAATTTTCAGTTTTTATGCACTTATGTTTAATCACAAGTTTTGAAATTTGAAGTGATGAGAAACATATTTGTAATTTTTGTAATTTCAAACGATTAATGTTTTTTATGTGACACATATTTACCGGTGATTTGCAAAAAAAATTCACTACAAGAATCTCGCAAATCAGTGGCGGATTTTCGTGACGGAAATGAGTCCGACAGTATTTAGTGTCGGAATTTAATGGGGGCTTAACTCCGCCGGTATTTAGTGGCGGATTTTTCGCCAGTAATTACCGTCAGTAAACATTGACGGAAATATATCCGCCATTAATATCCGCCAGTAATTTAAAAAATTAAATACTCCCTACCAACTCATCCTAACTCCACACAATCTTTATCCTCACATCTCACTCGACATGTTCTCTTCAGCAGCTCCAAACTCGAAATCTCAGGTTAGAACTCTTACCTTTTTTTAAAAAAATTAAAGTTATATATTCATATTTAATTTATAAATTAACTTGTCATGTGCATATATTCTTATATATATGATAGAGAAGTTTTGTCCTTGTTTGTTTGATTTCCTTATTTTTTTAAAAATAAAATTCAACTATGTTTGTGTTAATTACAAGATTGAAGATTATTGTTAAAAAATAAATATAGGAAATTATTGGTTGTTCAAGTTATATGTGTTGAATGAAATTCAATAATAGATATATGTTTATTGTAATATTTATAAAAAAATCGAGATAACATAGTAACAAAATAAAATCTATAATGTATATGGTAACTTAAATTCTAATTCACATTAATGACTTAAGAGAAAATTTGGAAATACTTTATTCATAATATATATACATTGCTAGTTTAATTAGTTTATTCAATGAAAATGTAATGTATGTCGTTTTTTGTTTAGATTTCAGTATGAGTAATAATAGGTCATGGATGTACAAAAGACTAGAGAGACGAGGATGTCTAAATGATGATTTCAAGGAAGGTGTAAATGAGTTCATTCAGACAACGCTAAATTCATATTCCAGCACTGTCATTGCATGTCCCTGTAGAAAGTGTCAAAATCGAAAATGGTTGACTTGGGATATTGTTAAGCAACACCTATTTGAGAAAGGTTTTGTTGAGGACTATTATGTATGGGCAGCACATGGAGAGACACCCAATTCAAATGGTCTGGTTTATTTTGATCAAGCTAACTCCTCGTATTGTAATGCATCTGAGGTCCAATATGATCCATACAAATCAATGTTTGAGGATGCAGTAAGGAATGAATTCCCAACAGAAAATCAAGGCGATTTTCTTGTGAATGATGAGCCTAATGCAGCATCCAAGAAGATGTATGAGATGCTAGATATGACGAGTCAACCATGCTTTGAGGGTTGTCCAATGACTGAGTTGAGCGCAATGACTGAAATGTTGAACATAAAGACTGAGATGAATCTATCTGAGGCTGCCACAGACAGGATTGCTCAATTTGTGAATAGATTTTTCCCAACTAAAATCCCCAATAGGCCTATACCAAATTTCAACAAAATAAAAAGGAAGTTATCATTGTTGGGAATGTCAAGCCAGTCTATTGATTGTTGCCCAAAAGGGTGCATGATATATTGGAAAGGAGACAATGAGCTAATGGAGTGCAAGTTTTGCGGTGGTGCAAGATACAGGATCAGTAAGCAAACAAAAAAAGCAATTCCACTTGCAAAAATGGAGTACTTCCCACTTACTCCTAGATTACAAAGGCTTTATGCATCAGATACTACCGCAGAGAAAATGAGGTGGCACAAAGTTCACCATAGGGAAGGAGTTATGCGTCATCCATCGGATGCAAAGGCGTGGATTCATTTTGACAATCTCCATCCAGATTTTGCTGAAGACCCGAGAAATGTTAGGCTTGGTTTATGCAGTGACGGGTTCCAGCCATTTGGACAATTTGGTCAGAAATACTCTTGTTGGCCTATCATAGTGACACCATACAACTTGCCACCAGGTACGTGTATGAAACAACAATTTTTATTTTTGTCTATATTGGTACCTGGACCAAGAAATCCAACAAAGAGGATAGATGTGTATTTTCAACCATTGATAGAAGAGTTGAAACAATTGTGGGAGGTTGGGGTTGTAACGTATGATGCATTCTCAAGGGAGAATTTCAATATGCGAGCTATGTTGCTATGGACAATAAGTTATTTTCCCGCATATGCCATGCTTTCTGGATGGAGTACAAAGGGCAAATTTGCATGTCCATGTTGTACTGAGTTTACTGAAGCATTTTGGCTATACCATAGCAAAAAACATAGTTGGTTTGATAATCATAGAAAGTTCCTACCAAGTGATCATCCATTTCGGTTTGATAATGAGAACTTTACTAAGGGAAAATCAATCTTCTATGGCCCTCCGTTAGCGAGAGATGGTTCATACTGCTATGATGAGGTCAGTTCCCTGATGTCTGTGACTGAAGTAGGAGGTATTGAGCATAATAAAATAGTTGGACGAGATATTGGATGGAAGAAACGTAGTATATTCTGGGATCTCCCATATTGGAAGGATTTGCTTATACGACATAATCTCGACGTGATGCACATAGAGAAGAATTTCTCTGAGAATATGTTTTATACAATTTTGGGGGTGCCAGGAAAATCGAAGAACCATGCTAAAGGGAGAATGGATATGGAACAAATTTGCCATAGGCCGAGTATGGAGAGGGACGGTAGTGGAAAATTCCCTAAGGCTCCTTTTACTATTTCAAGTGAGCAAATGACAGTGTTATGCAATTGGGTTGATTCATTGAAGTTCCCAGATGGCTTTGCATCTCGGTTAGGACGTTGCATAGAAATTGAAAAACTTAAAGTGTTTGGCATGAAGAGTCATGATTGTCATGTGTTTATGCAACGTTTAATTCCGATTGCTTTTAGAGAGATGTTACCTGCTTCGGTTTGGGAGGCAATCACAGAGATTAGCTTATTCTTTCGTGAGTTAACCAGAAAGAGTATCACCGTTTCTGACATGGAGAAGCTAAAGGCAGATATTCCCATTATTCTATGCAAGTTGGAGAAGATTTTCCCACCATCATTCTTTGACCCCAGTGAGCATCTTGTAGTACATTTACCAGATGAAGCTTTGTGGGGCGGACCTCCACAGTATCGTTGGATGTATCGTTTTGAAAAGTTAGTGTCTTTTACTTTTTCTCTTTCAATTACTATAATCTTTTATAAATTTGACTTCATGTCTTAAGCGTTATCATTGTAACACCGTCCCCAAATATATTTACTTTTATGTAAATAATGTATTGAACCTTATTAAAGGATTAATGAATTTACGAAGTTGTAAATTTTTATTATTTCTTTCACGTGAATAGTAAATTGCACGTGGGACCCACACCGGGAGCGGGGGCCGCCCGATATTCCCGAGATCACATAAATTATTTTTACGGGTCGAAATAATATTTATATAGTGGTGGACATCTTATTTGGGCCATGGGAAGGCCTGGGGTTGACCGATTGATCAAAAGGAGCCCAATTGCCGGTACCGACAATTAAACAGATAACAGCCCGAAAATGAATTTCGAAGACTTCCAAATTAAAGTTTTGGAATATATATTATTTCAAAGGGGCGTTATGATTGAGAACACATAATATATTTTATTTTTCCCGATAAAATAAAATATGATTAAAACAGTCCGAAAAATACAACTTTCGGGACCGATTGTACACACCGGGACACAAAGGGATGACCTCCCACATGAGTGGGGGCCACCCCACGTTTCTATATGCTCAAATTGACTAGATGAGAGCTGGTATTACACTTGATGGGAGGGTGAGACAATTGGAGACATCAAAGGGGTCCCTCCCACCCTTATTAGCTCAATGGGACAAAAAGAACCCATCCCCCTCTTCCTTCATCATTGTACTCGACCAAAGCACTAAGGAGAGGCAAGAGAGAGCTCTCAAACCAGCTTTTATTGTTGCAGCACGAGCTCAAGGAAAAAGGGGTCCAAAGGAGAGGATTAAAGAGGGAAAAAGTGGGGAAAAGTGTGAATAATTAAGGTAATGACCTTATTATAACTTCTCTTTATTTTTCTTTCTACCATATGAGGTATATATCATGTGAAGGACTGACGTGCACTTTGTCGTGGTGTGCACTCAAAATAATAATACAATACAACGCTTATACGTAGTATAGCGTAGTAAGGTTCGTATCCACAGGGAAAGGAATACTTTTCTTTTTATAGAACTAGTAACAAAATGGGGGGTTTTAGTTTGATTTGGTTTAATAAATTAAACACGAAGATGAACGAGTTATGTGGTTTAATTAATGAGAAGAAGACTTGGCTTTGCTTTTATCCACTTAATGAAATGTTCGTCGATCCCGGTTATATCTTTAACTATCTTCCTCTCGAATACTCAATCGAGGAGTATATCCAATTCATCGAGGGTAGTTATTAATAACGAGACGCGTTCATTAATAAAACTTATTACCGAGTTAATATAGAACACGCGCCGTATATTCACTCGATAGTAGCAATAAAATCAAGATGAAAACGATTGAGATTGATAACCTCAACACAAGCGGTTTATTGGTTTAATTAATATAATTAATTCCCCTTGGTTTATTAACCATGAAACGCATGCATTAATAACCCAAGTTTACTACCGCGAAAGGACCGAATTAATAACAAGCGTATTAATTAGGGGTGGGCATAACGGTTTGGTTTAACCGAACCGAACCGTACCAAACCGAACTAAACCGAACCGAAACCGAACCGTATGCAATTTGGTTTTAGTTTGGTACTATTTCTTTCAAACCGTATTAAACCGAACCGAACCGAACCGAAACCGATAAAACCCGAACAAAACCGAACAAAACCGAACCGAACCGAACAACACACACACACACACTTTGTATTTATCTTCACTCTTCATTTTAAGATATAAATAAAAAATTTAGACATGAAAATGCATATTTAAGCATATACTCGTATTATTTTAACTTTTACACATTTCAAACATTCATTATGACAAAGTTAGCTAATACGACATATTTGTATTTATTATGCTTGGCGATATCAATAGCAAATTATATTTATATTTCTATTTCTATTTCTGTGTGAGTCTTTGGTTTAGTTTGTTTCAATTGGTTTAGCAGGTGAAGGCAGGTTGTTTAAGCAAGGTTCTAGTATTTCATTTAGTTGGAATTTCAATTGGCAGGTTGTTTAAGCAGGTGAAGGCAGGTTGTTCAATTGGTTTGGTGAAGGCTGGTTCTAGTATTTCATTTAGTTGGAATTTCAATGAAAACAAAACATTCAAAATTACTCATTTACTCAAAGTGGATTGTAACATATGAAACAAGACATAATCATTTTCAAGTTTATAAACCGAACATCAAACCGAACACCAAACCGAACCGAACCGATTTTTTCCCAAACCGAACCGAAACCAAACCGAAATTCTTTTGGTTTGAGTTTGGTACTATTTTCCTCAAACCGAATAAACCGAAACCGAACCGAAACCGATAAAAACCGAACCGTAAACCGATTCGCCCACCCCTAGTATTAATCGACCGATTCTAGTAATAATTAATATATGAAACAAAACTAGTTGATCCTTTAAGTAATGTTCAAAATATTAATATGAAATATGAATAGGAATTAATTAATACTCAAGGAAGAATATTAAAGAAGATGAATCCTACTATAGTTAATATCAAGATGTTAACTAATTGTCATCTTAGTAACACTCCCCAATATTAACATAGAGGAAGAAATAGCTATTACTATAACTAATGTCAAGATGTTAACTAATTGTCATCTTAGTAACACTCCCCAACATTGATATAGAAATAGTATTTAAAGGAAGAATTAATATTCAAGGAAGAAGATTAAAGAGAATAACTCACAACTTACAAATTCATTAAGCTTCAAAGTAGCAAAACCAAGATGGAAGAGTTTAGCTCCTCATTTGGAGACTAAACACGATAGAAAATATAAAGAAAACACTAATCTAAACTGAGCTAAAGAGTATATGTGAATTGGTGATTTTATGGGAAGGAAATGGGGTGTATTTATAGGCTTTTGGGAGCTGCAGGGCTGTGTACCCGATCGGGTCTATAGGATACCCGATCGGGTATCTTAGGAAATTGCCCAGAAACTGAAAAATAGGGTCATACCCGATCGGGTCTGTCGGTCACCCGATCGGGTATGACAATCGAACATGGCCAAAATCTTTCCCGCATGTTGCTCGGTTCCCGGGTTGATCCGATTTGATTTTTCAGAAGGGTACCCGACCGGGTATAGGTCATACCCGACCGGGTACAGACCAAAAACGAAATCTCCACTTTTTGTCTTGCATTTTTGCACTTTCCTTCCACTTGTGGTGTTCACCAATGGTCCCCAAAGTGTTCTTGGACCTGTTTGAGCTCAGAATAAACCTAATCTAAACATATTACAAATATTTTACAAACTAAACTATTACACCAAAAGTGTGTAATTTCCGAAGTAACAATCACTCTAAACTAATTAAAAACACAAATTTACACATGGAAATTACATGAATGTCAACTCTTCCACACTTAGCTTCTTTACTCGTCCTCGAGTAAAGTCAAATGTTTAACAGTTCCAAGTCCTCAAGAGTTCAACAATCAACAAGAAAAAGCAAAAGACCACCAAGGATAAAACATGAGTTTTACATTGAATGTTTAGCTCAACGAACAATATCTTCTTGGGTTTTATGGCCTTCTATGCTCATCTCTTTTATTCTCCTCTATTCATGTTCAAGAGATTAAATGATGTCCTATAAAAACAAATATCTCTCTCATATCTCTCATTCTGCCTAGGAGCCTTTTCAGGTTTTCATCCTAGCATCTCTTTTTATTTTCCATCCTTTCCACTCACTCATTTTTTTTTAAAGCCATTTTTGCTTAGATTGCCCATTTTTGGGTTTTCAACCTAACTAGCATTGATTTTTTTTTTTTTTTTTCCGAAAGAAAATAGTGCTAGTTTACAAGGTATGAAACATAAATACGTACCAATGAGTGACTCACTGACTCCCCCACACTTAGTTCGAAGCACTGTCCCTAGTGCTCGTCTCCGTAATAACCTTGTTGGAATGTGTAAGGAATAAATGTAATTAGATTTTGATGATGCTATAGGATTAGAAAGTTAGAGTACCCCCAAATTAGATTTTATGTATTAGAATTTTTAATTGTAAGTATTAGTGTAGTCGACGATCAGAGTTGCTCTACTTTGGATCAGATCAGAAGTGCATCAGAACTGCTCGACCAGACTTGCTCTATGAGAACTGCTCCATCAGAGTTCTCTTACCAGAAGTCCATCAGAGTTGCATCATGAGAGTTGCTGATAAGCCTGGACATCTGATAGCCGATGAGAACTACAGATCAGAAGTACTCATCAGCGGACCTATCAGAGTCAGAGTTCAGTCAGAGATCAGAAGACCATCAGAACTCAACTCATCAGATAGCCATCAGAATCCAACATATCAGAAGAACCTGATCAGAGCTCGACGAACACTTAGAAAATTTCAAGCAACATCCAACAGCTCTGAATCCAACGGGTAAAAACATCCAACGGCTACAAGACTGTGCATGAAAGGAAAGCATTTAATGCACATTAAATGAGCCTGATACGCTGAAGGATTGATTGCAAATGATTGACCAAGGAATCCGGGAAGATATATTATAAAAATAGAAACCTTCCAAAACGGCGGTCAAGTCAACTGTACGCGCATTCAATGCAGTTGTCTCCTCCTCCAACGGGCAGACAACCTCAGTATATAAGCTACACACCGAAGAACAGAAAAACAACTTTGCTACAACTCTTGCAAATCATCATTCAAGCTCTCTTGAGATTCAAATTCTACAACCTTCAACAAGACAAGCTTACGTTGGGAAGATTCAAACTCCAAATCTCTCATCCCCAACAAACAAGCAAAGTGCATCCTGTTCTTCAACACTTCAAGAACTTCATCAAACATCCTTTGTAACGAAGCAAGTTGGAGGAAAAACTCTGTTTTTCAAAAGGATCTTCTGAAAAGAAGGGCGTCCAAGTAACTGCAGTAGTGAAGTGGTGATACTTCCGGGAAGCTGAGTGAAAGGACCAGCCATCAGGACGTGGAATTGCATCCTGGGTGGCAGCTAGACTTGAAGAAGGCGTGGAGAACTTCTTAAGTGCTAGGAACTAAGCTTTGTAACCGATCTACTTCAAAGCTAGTGGAACAGTGGACTAGAGGAACGAGTTGTTCCTTGAACCACTATAAAATATCCGGTGTCATTTACTTTACTGCAATTTATATTTCTGCACTTAGGATATTAACTGATTAACTCTAAGACTTGGAATCTGTGTTCAGCAGATCTTGTTCTCAGAGTTATCAGAAAGGCAGTTGCCTTAGTATTTCTGAGGCTACCCGGACAGATCAGAATCCGCTGCCAAGGCCAGTTCTGATATCAGAACCAGCCTCTCTCTGTCACCAGAATCAGACCTTCTCTGATAAGTCATTTTGGACTTGGAGAAAAGTTGAAAAACCAATCAGTCTATTCACCCCCCCCTCTAGACTGATTACCATATTAAACGGGACCAACAAGTGGTATCAGAGCCTCCTTGTTCTTGTAATCTTTCAGGTTACTCTCTGAACAAAGATCCACTTGTTCTTAGCCTCTCTTTATTTATTATAATGGATAATTCTCTTGCAAAGCATCTTATGTTCACAGATCAAAAGTATGATGATTGGAAGATCAGAATGAAGGCACATCTATGTGCCCTACATGATGAAATGTGGGAAGTCTTGGAGAATGGACCCTTTATCCAGTTCATGAAGATCAATCCTGCTCACTCCATTGATAACTCTCAGCCCCAGATGATTGAGAAAGCCCGGTCAGAATGGACCAAGGAAGAGAAAAGACAGTATAACCTTGACAACATTGCCAAGGACATTCTCTACAAAGCTATTGATGAAAGATATTTCAATAGAATAAAGAAGTGCAGAACTGCCAAAGAAATCTGGGATAAACTGGATGAGATTGGAGCAGGAGATGAACAAGAAAGAGATAACAAGTTGACCATTGCTATGAAGAAGTTTGATGACTTCAAACTTCTGCCAGAAGAATGCATTGCTAAGATGCATGAGAGACTGCTGATTCTCATTAGTGAGATTTCTGAGCTTGGAAAGGAACTCACTATCAAAGAAGTCAATATGAAGATCCTCAGGG